TGGCAGGAAATCGTGATTTCAACTGTGAGGACGATTTCAGAGAGCCGTTAGTATATATCACTCGTTGAGACGATTTTCAACTCAGATCTTCTAAAATTGAATCATTCAGCTAATCCATCTGGTGGTTTGAATGTCCCATGTTTCTATCTTCATTACGGTTGGATCAGAAGCATCGAAAAATTGTAGGTCTCAGAGTAGCTCTTAAATGAATTGAGTGATATCGATGGTGAGCGAAATCGATAAATACACTCTTCCTACTTATTCGTGGAGTTTTACGCCAAGTCATTATTCCAGGAATGGACAACTCTACAGAGCGGTTGGATCGTGCTTCAACAATATGGAAGAATTCACTGAGGAGTATGGCGATACGTACATCACAGATGATTTCCTCGTAACTTCATCTAAAGAACATAAGTGTATGACAGGAGTTGGAGTAACCAATGGATCAATTGACTGTGTGAGTGTTTCGACATTGGAAACAAAGCATTTCAATCTCGGCTGCAGCTGACCTTGGAATTTAAATATTCATATACCGCATGATCTCTTATCAATCACTCTCGCATAATGATGAAAATCGGAGCAAATCACCACCACAGCATTGAAAGCAATTTTAGTCAGATCAAATTTCTTTGAATGCGGTCCTTCCCCTCTCAAAAAACAATCTATGTCTAGTGAATGTAATATACTGAAACCCTCATGAGTTTAGAATCAAAGTGACAGTTTCTAATGAACGCTGACCTTGTAGGAATTAGGGGATGCTAAGGTTAAATGTCAGCCGATTTTGGATGCAGCACATGGAAAGGGGCCTTTCGCAGCGTGTCAACCACTCGGCAACGAAACAATTGAAAGGGAATTCAACAATTGCGCATATGATGCGTGTCAAGTACCTTCAACGTTGTGTACTTCATTCTCGCTTTTCGCAAAACTGTGTCAAACGAATATACCTTGTAAGTACACAATTGTAGCATACAGAAAACTTATCGTACGGATTCGATTTACTGCATATGATTCCGAACGGAATGATATGCAACTAAT